GTGTAATTCCATGAAAAATCAGTAGGATAAAAGTCGTTTTCTAAAGTACCGATTTGAAAAGTAGAGATTTCAAGCTGTAAAATGCTTTTTTGAATATCTCGATACGATCCTTTTTGACGAAGTTACACTCTCTTGAATTTTGCTCTTTTGTTTATTTTTGGAGGGTAGAGTAAGTGATGCTTTAATTTTGTTGAGAAGTGTATAAACGCTTTATAAATAAGTTTGTATATTTATAAAACTATAATATCTCATACAAATTGTCGCAAAATTACAATTTCTTTTTCTATAATTATTTTTATAGTCAAACATAAATGATAATTATAAAAATGCAGTTTTAAATAAAATTAAATATTCGCAATATTAAGTTGTAATGTTGTAAATATACGTATGTACGGATTTAAAAAACATTGGTCTAAAAATGAATCATAAAATTAATATATTACGAGCTAATTGTTTAAATTTTAACAGCCACGCTACCATTAAACTGTCGATTTTAATAATATCTTTCGATTGTAAATAAAGAACCTATAATAAGAATAATAATAAGAACGAAAGCCTAAAAAAACGTTTGATACAACTTACTTTTGTGATTTTTAGTTTATTAATCATTTGTACATATTTCATTATCTGTTGTGTAGGATTGTGTAAGATTATATTAGGTGTTCTATAAGTTCCTGAGGTTAAATTTATATGGCGTTAAAACGCAAAACGTGTAATCTTTTAAGGCATTCTTTTTTTTTGCATTTATAATTATCTAACCTGCTTCAAATATATATTTGTTCAAATATATTTATGATAGCTTATGTCCATTTCTACCAATGTAGATTAACTTTAATCACGGTTTTATTTACTTTTTATCTTTTTCTAATTCTTAAAAGTAGAAAAAGATACAAAGTAAGTTAAACCTGGATTAAAGTTAATCTACGTCAGTAGAAATAGATATTAGAAGTTGTTAACAAAATATATTTTTAATTTGACTCCAAATGAAGATCGAAAAAGAACATATTCGACACTGCATACTTCATTATCAAAAAAGTAACGTTAGTTTTTAATGAGAAACAAGAAAAAGTCATAAATATTTTTTAAAATGTTCCTCGATCTATTTTGGTCTTTTACCGCAAGAAGAAAATTAGCGTATAAATGTGCGATAATAGAAAATTAATAAATAAATTATAAAATTGTATTATTTTATTAAAAAATGAAATATTTCGTTAAAGGTTAACTCTTATTTCTTATTAACAACTTATCCCAATGCGATAACAACTAGTCCGACGAAGGAGTAAGAAGTTTCGTTTAATTATTGTAAATAAAGAAAGTTCTAAAAAATCCCAAGAACTTATGAAACAACCTAATACATATTTTTACCTTAATTAAAATTCAAAATTTTACTTATTAAACATATTGTACATAAAATGTGACGTTAAAATGTTAAAAAACAACTTAAAAGAATATCTTACAATTGCAATAATAATACGAGTATCTATACTTTTTTCGGAAATTCGTATATAGAATGCATTACTGACATATCATCTCGTTCCATTAACCACTGCTTGAGAAGATGTTCAATCCTCTTGGCATCGATCTGCAAAATTGAATAGTGCTCATAAGAAAAGAGAAAATATTTTATATACATTTTGTACAGTATGATTTTCGTAGAAAACATTGAGTACTTAATAAATACCTTATCTACGACATCGGTAACTTTCAAACCTTCGATTAGACCAGCAATATCTACGATCCATATCTGTTCGCAAATTGTTGCAACCCATAAGTTAGATGTCAATTGGCCTATTATATGCTCACTGTCAAAACCTGATCTGCAGATTAATTAATAAAATGCATCAGTACGTAAAATATATGATAAACAATCTTAAGTTATTGTTTAAGGCTTAACCTTGTAATTATCTTAGCTCTGTCGATGATCCAAGGTACTATCGTCCTCATATTTAATTTTTCTGTCTTCTCGTTCCTCGTATTTTTCATTTTCTCAAACAGCTGTAACAGTCTGTTCTTATTTTTCCCTAAGCCTACTTCGTCCGCATCGACTTTTTCCTCGGCTTTATTACGTCTCCAATGTTCCTTTTCTTCTTTCTTTGTAATATCACGGTAATAACCACGTTCTTCGGACGACAGTTGCTTCCAGAAGTCGGTAATTTTTCTTGCAGTTTGGGCTGCTGTTAATGAAGGATTTTCCTTTGCAACTAAATGCAAGATAGTTATTAAATATTGTAACTTTAATGTTTTAGATATAGATTTTATCTACTACATGCATTTTTATAAATAATAACTATATTATTATATTATATTATTATATTTTAATATTCCATTAATATTATTATATTTATAAACTATTATGAGAGTATAATATGTAAAGAATTTCGATAATGACACAATTATATACCTTGTAATCTAACGTATTTTAAAAATTTAAGATCTTTATGATCCACATGTGCTCTATTTGATTCCAGAATAATTTCATCATTTTTATTATTGAAGTTATCATTTGATTTATCAATGGCAATATCCAATTTTATATCTGTACCACCCTGTTATATTTAACAATAATATTAATTGTACAATAATTTTAAGAAAAATTAAATTAGGGAAAATTAATGTTTTAAAATTTCATTAGAATTTCACCTTAAGTCCTGTAACATGTCCCTTACTCCATGCCTCCAATGTAACTTCCTTTTTTTCTTGGACGTCCATTCCTTTATTTTCGTTCTTGTTCATGGAAATATTACAATTTCCAATTTCTTCTAACAAGTCAAAATCTTCACCAAGGTCTACTACAGGTAGTTGGCTTAAAGTTAATCTTTCTTCTGCTCTGTAATTTATATTTATATTTATCTGTAATCTTTAAGTAAAATTATGACATTGACGTACTTAATATAAAAAAATCAAGAACATTTTAAAATTTATGTATTGATTAATTACATTCTATACACTAATTCCTTTTTTTTAATCGAAATTGTAGGAAAAGTATCATTTGAATCAGAATCACTCAAATTAGGTGGTGGTACGTGGGTTGTTAGAGTCAATGCATTTCCATAATGTTTCTGTTCATGATTCTGATTATTATTCTGTTCCTCATTTTGAGGAGATTTTCTATATCCATTACTGTTATTACTAACTAATGACTTCTCTTTGATATCTTCTTGAACAACTCTCTCCTGAGCATGTATTTTTCGTTTTTTACATGCAGGCACTTCAATGTCAGCAACACTTTCATTCAAACTAGATGTATAATCCTCATAACAGACAGACGTGTCGTTAGACACGTTTTGTTCAGCAATCTCCATAGACTTAAGTCCATAAAATTTTCTTATACATTTATCTACAGCATTAAGGACTTTACTCTACAATGTTAAATATATAATTTGTAAAATATATATATATATATATATATATGCATAAGTATTTAACATTTTACATTTTTTAAAACTTTGAAATGGAGACTAATATTCATTTAACATATTTTATATAATTTAATAATCATAGAATTTAATATAATTTACATTAATAATCGTTACAATTACTTTATGAAAAAATATTTTTTATTTCTAATCTTACCTGATCTTTGAAAAAAATTGTATCTTTATTTGGTTCTAGATTAACATCAATATCCATTGGACTCAAAGTAAGGCACACAAGAAATATCATTTTCTTTTTATATGACTCTTGTTCAAAATGTTCTAATATCAGACTATTTATTAGCTAAATATATAAAAGTACATTTTTTTACCATTTTATAATAAACATCACAAAGATTAAATTATTTATAATATATGTGTAATACGATTTAAAAAATATTGTAAAAACATTCAGTCTTTACTTCGGAATTTAAATATAATATAATGTATACACAAGATATACCTTTTCAAGATCTTTATGCCTAATAGGCCTATTGTTTATAAAAATATAGTGTAAATTGGCATGAGAAATTTCTGATAAATCCTGTATCTTTTTTGAAGGCAACATTAATTGTAGAGTAAGCTGAAAAATTATCAAAATGTAAATCATGGAAGATTTGCCAATTGTAATTAGACATATCTTTCTTATATCTATTTTTATCAATATATATTTCAAAAATCCAATTTATTTATTTTAAATGTAGATTAACTTTGATCTTAATTTAATTTATACTTTTTTCTAATTTTTAGAACTAAAAGTAGAAAAAAATAAATTAAATCAAGATTAAAGTTAATCAACTTGAGTAAAAAGGGACATTAGATAGATGCTGATGATTTTTCGAATGATCAAGAATGTACCTACCTCTGCATTCTTAAACTCAATCCATTCCATGTTAGACATAATGCTTCTGCCAAGTACATGATTCACAGCTTCTTTGATATTATTTAGACTTGGTTTTGTAAACATAACATTATTATTCACTCTAAATTGAATTCGTATGCTTGGTTTACATATCCCAAAGCATTGTATCAGAGTCTCCACTAATTTAATTGTTTGATTTGTTTTTTTCACATTTGTAATTATTTGTCTTCTCACAGGTACTTGCTTAAATAAATTTCTTACTTGTACTGTAGTACCTAATATACAATAAATAAGTATATCTTTTAAGAATATGAAATATAATTATAATCACATACATATGTTGTCACATGTTACATATGTATATTATCATGTCTTACAGAACTAAAAAAATACATTTTTACCGGTACTTCTATGGCAAGATTCACAGTTTACAATTTGTCCATCATAATTCATTGTATATGAAGTTCCAACATTATCCTCCTCTGTTTTTGTCACAATGGTAACTTCTGCTACTGCACACACTGCACTAAGCGCCTCTCCTCTGAATCCAAATGTTTGTAACACATCTGGAAATGATAAGAATAAAGACATAAAAATTTACTTCATTTTTTAGATTATGACTACATTGTATACAATATTGTATATGATCATCAATATTATGTATACAGTATAGTCTAAAACACATCTAGGCCAACTAAAACATAGTAGATTGAATATGCAAGCACTACCTAAGTCTTCAAAATTTGATATTTTAGACGTATAGGAAGGTAAGGCCATGTATGGCGCATCTTCCTTAGATATGCCATAACCATTGTCCTTTACTTCTATTAAAGATGTACCGTTGTCTATCTAAAAAGACAGAAAAGATGCACATATAAAATATAACGCACTTGTTTAAAAAAATACCATGCAAGTATTGAATATATTATATTGATTGTCACATACAACGTTAATCTCGATACTGTCCGCACCGGCGTCGATTGCATTCTCTATCAATTCTTTCACCACAGCGTACACGGACGTTATTATTTGCGTGGTGGTAATTAGTTTTACCGTTCTTACGTCCAGTGCCGAGATCGGCATTTTGAAATGTCATCAGTCGAGATCATGAAGTATTCTTCTTCTTCTTTTCTTTAATGCATGGTGGAAACATTACATGGTGTGCTCAAAACTTCGAAACCACGCCCCCTTTTCACGTCGAGGTAGAGTCCTAGAATACAGAGATGCGACACGGCGTCAGTTAGGTTAGGTAGCAACCGCCATTTTAATTCAGTAAAGTACTCCTAACCTTATAAGCTGATGACAGTTGATGCAAAAAGAAATACACCATAATAATAACTTTTTATTACATTTCAACACTTTGTATTGTCTTAATTTTTCTCTATATAATTTATATGTATATACTTTACAAAGCTGTATCTTGATGCATTAGGTGCAATAGTGAATTAAAATGGCGCTTTGATCATTTGATTGGTGCTTTGTCATGATTTAGACAGCCAATCAGACCATACCCTTCAATGTCGTATCTCTGTTTTCTAGGACTCTAACTAGAGGGACTCTAAAAAGTCCCAGAGAACAAAGGCATTCCACCTTCATGTACTATATACTCAAAGGTGAAATTGCATCCTAAGTGTGCACTGTGCACAGCTGATTGAATGAAATAACGATAAAGTGTCAACTCTGTGTGTCAAATGCATTTTTAAAGAAGATCTCTTTGGATTTTGTATATTTTTTTATTTAGGTGAATTCAGAGGGAAGACATTTTATGATTTGAAATAAATGAGACTGATGATTCTTACAGCTAATGCTCTTGTGAACTAATCATGCATAGTTATTGTTTTCATATGTCTATGCTGTTCTGCTAATTTTGTATGTCTTCCTTTCACCTATTATCATATTAAATATATATGGAATAATTATTCAAATTGGATTATATCTGTTTTAACTTATAATGTGTGTATTTTATATATATATATATATATATATATATATATATAATTTTCTAGCCTCAAAATATCTGCTTATCAATATTTTTTTAATTATACCTTTTGTCTACACATACGCGCGCGTTATAGATATTTCCGTTATATGTTGCAATATTTAAATTTTATATTTTCTTTAGGCCGAGAGCACATGAAATGCATA